ACAGCATTTTTTTAAAGGTTTTTTTTTTCCATTGATACATGTCCCCCAGGTAAGTACCCGAATCCCCATACATCTTTTATGGCCAATAACTTGCATTAAAACCTTCAACAAGGGGACAATTGATTTGCAAAGTTCTGGCCCCATAGACTTGCATTGAGTATGAGTTCGAATTAAAACTTTTTCCATGTTTTAAAGTTCGAATTAGAACTGAACTCTGATCTGTTCTGCCCATCACTAGCCCTGAGTCAATTTACAAGGCACATTGCATTGTCTGTGCGTTGGGGCTGTGCTAGAAAAGGCGCAACCAACGCATCTGGTGTGAACAGGTCCTAGCTAAACTTAGCAGCAGCCAGCAAGACATTGTAGACTCTATGGGGTCTATTCACTAAGCTGCCGACGGCAGCCGAGGGAATAACCGACCCGAAGTAGAACGCTGTTCGGCTATTCACTTCAGGCTTGTACGGCTGATTTCAGCCGTATATCGGGTGGCTTCGGGTCGGCCAAACATGCTCAGCATGTGTGTGTAATGACTGCGTCCCTGGTTACCTGGCTACCAGGGACGCTGATCTCTCTGAAAGTGGCCGGAGCCAGCCGTGAGATGATGGCCAACTTCGGGAGCTGTACGGGCTATAGCGAATAGCCCGTACAGCAGCCCTTCGGTTCTACTGAACCGAAGGGGTCCTGGGGCTGAAGCTAGCCTAAGGATCAGCCAAAGCTATGGGTAGATCCTTTGGCAGCTTAGTGAATAGACCCCTATATTAGACATTGTAGCCCCCAAAATGTTTTGTACTAGAGTTCAAAGTGCATGTTGTCATTACATTCAGGAGATAATGATATCAGCTTCTAACTTACCTCATATTAATGTAGTGGAGGTGCACAATTTTGTGCCAGCTGTGACATCTATTGCTAAATAAAGGGTTGGGCTATTCATATGAAGGAATTGGGGATTTATGAGCCATAGATTTGACTAACATTTCACTTGCGCTAAGAACAAACCAAGTAAAGCCAGCTTCTGGCTGTCAATGTGGAATATGCAGGGTAGTAGACATGTATGGGGGTGACGCTATGTCATGACAGTGTGAGTCATAATACACTTTCATACATCTGCCCAAATTCATTTTGTACAGAGTAAATTAACATCTTTCCTTTCTTCACCTTCTTACTATTGTCCTAGCTTATTGAAGCAGGGCTGGACAAATCCCAGGAGTCAGGTAGCTAATGTTCCTTAAAAGTTACAGCCGGTACCTAACGAGTTTTTCTTAGTTGTTGTCAAAGGAGGTGGCTCCTAAAAGCAAATTCTGCTGGCTCCTGGATTGGACAGACTGGCTCCTGCACTCTGTATTAAAGTGTATGTTCAGCTAAAACTTTTTTTTTTCTTGGACAGTATGGGGAAAGGTAAGAAGCACTGATGGAATTTTATAAATATCCGGGGCTCTGTTAGAGAGATTTCACCTCACTTAGTGATCTGGTAATAACAGTTTCACCAGACAGGAAGTGATGGAACATCTTAGACAGCGACACAGACAAAATAGTAATCCTTTTTTCAGCAGAGTAAAGGAAGGCTCGAACCACTGTCAGCATTATGTGTCCCATTAAAGATTTACCTTCACTTTTTACCATTGTGACAGTGAAGTGAAACCACTTTAAAAGAGCCCCAGACAAGAGTGAATTCGAATCCAGGGGTAGGCAACCTGGGCACTCCAGCTGCGGTGAAACTACAAATCCCATAATGCTATGCCTCTGGGAGTCATGCCTGTGGCTATCTAGCTGGCAGTGCCTCATGGGACTTGTAGTTTCACTACCGTTGGAGTGCCCAGATTGCCTACCCGTGCTGTAATCCAAACCCAAACAAAATTAAAAAAATGTTTAAGCTGCATATACACTGTGGGGGGAATTTATCAAAACTGGAGCAGACAGAATCCCCCTTATATCTTTATTGTACTGTGCCTGCCTTTAGGCGATCCCCAAAGACTCTTTAGAGAAGCCTAGCCCACCTAAACCTAACCACTGAACTATCACTTTCTCAAACAATTCATCCCCACACAGCTACCACCTTATGTATCACTTGCCCATCACTTGTACTGTAACTGTAATGTCTTCCTTATATTGTGAAGCCCTGCACAAACTGTTGGCGTTATAAAAATCCTGTATAATAATAATAATAATAACAATATTGAAAAGTAAGAAACAAGACCCCATATGATTATTAATGAACAGCTTCGTAAGATCATAGAAGGTAACTGAGGGGCCCTGGTTCTAAGTTGGCACCAGGGCCCAGGTCTTTTTGTTATGTCTCTGTCCCACAAGTTTATTTCTTTCTTTACTAGCACTTCTCTATTACTTTGGATGAGAATGAATGCATTGATTGTAAGGACTGAGGAATGGTACATATGTTTATAAATGGCCTTAGTCTTATTCCCTTATGCTAGGGCAAATTCCTAAAATTTACATTGGATCCAATGGGAAATGTTCAAACTTTGCTCGCTACCATGTAAGAACTATAGACACGTGGAATGATGTGTCCATGAAAGCAATTCACAAAGAACTGTAATTAGCTATGTATAGCTAATGAGTCACACTAGCATGGCAACAAGTGAAACATTTTTCATTAGACACAATGGAGACTTCAAAAACCTGTAAAGTCATTACATAACCAGAAGAGTATCAGCAACCTATGTCAGCCTATTGACTGTCCTACCTAAAGCTGGCCATACACCTATAGATTTTCTGCAGATTTTCTATGGTCAGATGGAAAAAGTGCAACAGATTCCTGTGTGGCTGGAGGAATTTCCCACTGGGCCAAGCTTCAGTATCTTGCTAGTCGGCCCCGCTGGCTGTCAAAATACCTGAACAATCTGATTGGATGCCGGCAAGATATAGAACCCTAGCCCAGAGGGAGATTCCTCCATCCACACAGTTTAGCGTAGATGGAGGAATCTGTTGCACTTTTTCCATCTGACCATAGAAAATCTGCAGAAAATCTATAGGTGAATGGCCAGCTTTACAATATCACAAGCCTCTAAAAGATGGACACCACAGAGCAGCTAATAAGATGATCCCAATTCTGTTTTAGGAATAAGTCAAGATGTGCAGTCAAGATAAATCAGTCCATCTAGTACTATCTATGTTATGTATAAAGAAATATAAATATATTCACAATATCTAACAAAACCAACATGGAGCATATTTCTGCACATTTCCACCAATCTATATATACACAACTGTTATAACAACAAAATATGAAAGGAACAATTAGGCAGATTGAGCCATTTTGGTAATTTAAAAGGGGTTCCTTTGACTCTGACTCTGCAAACCTTTGTTCATATTTACCACTTAATCAGCTTAACATAATTACCAAAACATTTTTATTAACTTATACAGTAATGGAATATTTACAGAGAACATTGGACCACATCAGTATCTACACCTTCTATCTAGTGGGGTTCATTTACTAAAGCCAAACAGGCTGTACAGTTTACAGGGGAAGTTTCTCTTAGCTTAGAGAATGTGGTGAAAATTCACTTTGCAAAGAATATCCAATCACATGCACGGAAAAAAAACAAAAACCAACAGTATTTTTGCTTGCACATGACTCGATGATGGAAGTCAGTGGAGCTTCACCTCATTCACTAAGCTAAGTGAAAATTCCCTTGCAAAGAAAACAGCCTATTTTCCCTTCGATAAATCCACCCCAATGCCTCTAATGCAATTATACAAAAATAAATTGGGCTTACTTTTGGTGGATGCCAATTCTTCCTCTAGTGAATTTTTAAAGTGTTGAAGAATACCCACGCAAACACAAAAGGAACCTGTAATTGTGCAGGTGTCCCTAGTGGGCTTTGAACCGTAGACACCAGTGCTGCAATGTCACCGTGCAAACCTTTATGCCATCAAACAATAAATATTTTCACTAATCTGATTAAATAGTTGAAAGTTTTGTGCTAAGTCACCCTTTAAAGTGACACTAAACTCAGACGATAAATCTTAAAAATACATTCAAGTACCTCAACTATTAACAATACTGTACTTTGTGTATCACTCAGCTGTATATCCTCCAATCATCTCTGAATTGGTGCTGACACTGTCCTTCCTTCTGCAGGGTGGCTACATTTGTTCCCCAAGGTCCCTGTGTGTATTGTAAAGTAGTCACCGCTCCAAGCTCACTCCCGTGATAAACTACAATCTCATGTTTAGATTACCAATTTGTATCAAGCTTATAGTCCATCACAGGAGTGAGCTTGGAGCGGTGACTACTTTACAATACACACAGGGACCATGAGGAACAAAAGTAGCCCCCCCTAGAAGGAAGGCCAGTGTCAGCACCAATTCAGAGAGGATTTGAGGATCTACAGCTGAGTGATACACAAATAATATACATTTTTGTTAATAGTTAGTGTACCTGAATGCATTTTTAAGATTTAACTCCTGAGTTTAGTGTCACTTTTAGAACATAGACAAACACTTTGACACCTGCACAGTATCTGCAAAGATATAGATTTAATCAAATACCAAAAACTGGAATATTTGAAGCAGTTAAATAATCATGGACTCCAACATGTAAATACATAAAATGCATGTTTCAGAGAGCAGTAAAAAAAGATTGCTATCGTATAACTAGACATGTCACAGTTAAACTAAAATTCAGACCATGCCAACTTGGCTTGAATCCGCCAGAGAAAAGACGTCATTGTTTATTGAAAGTGTTTTATGTCCCATTTACAAAATCAAGGCAATGCATGCTGGAATGGAGCGGAGAAAAAAATGCAAAAGTTTAACAAACATATAAAAGAGTCTGCTGGAAGTACCGTAGCTTTGAGGGGAAAATATGCTTCAGAGTCACATATCAGTCCTGACACATTTATGTTTGACTACGGAATAACAGAAACACAAATTCACAGGACCACTGGAAAGATCCAAATGTAGAAAGCAAACCTGAAGATTCCCTTTCCATCTGTGTCTGACAAGTATTGTGCTTTGAT